ACCGTCCCTGGTCCTCAGCCTCCGTCTCAGACCAAATGAGCAAAAGACTCCAGGAGCAGCCCCTTCCAAGACCACTGTTGCTTTTGGGAAGCTCACATCTAAAGGAAAAGGAAACTGGAGACAACATGGTCTCCTCTCTGAGGTGACGTGGTCTGTGTCAAAAGCTGAGACTGGTGTTTTCTGTAGTCACTGGTTGATTTCATTCACTCATTCAATAGGCATTTTTTTTTTAACCTAACCTACCATGTGCCAGGTGATGATATATTGTACTAGGATGAATTATAGATTGCTGTTTTTACAGGTAAGAATTGACAATTTCATATGGTTAAACCTAATATTTAGAGTGTTTTCCTAAGTTAGTGTTACTTTTTTTCTTCTGATGGCATCAACGAAGGCAGAGATAACCCAATCATTACTATCTGCTATGGCGGCCTGGGTCTGCCCAGGTTCCTTTCCAGAAACAGGGCAGACACCAGTTTCTACCATGCATGTAATGGTGAGATATTTTGTGACTTAATATAGGGCCGAGTTACTGCTTTAAATTGGCTTCTCCCAGACACCCTTTTATGCAGAGGCAGTTTGAGGCCTGGGCCAGTTGGGGAGCTCAACCACCATGGCTCCCCAACTCTGCAGGCCCTGCTCTGCAGTGCGGAGAGGCAGCCGGCTGGAGGAGAGTGATTCGTAAGTGCGCAATGAAGACAATCTCTCTTGGACTCATCTTGTCTAATGCTACTGGAGCAAAACTGTACCCAAAGTTCACTTGCAAATATATTTACACAGACCAGTATGAAATTAAATGATTTAATAATCAGTTAAAAAACAAAAAACGAAAAGAGGCCGGGCGTGGTGGCTCACGCCTGTAATCCCAGCACTTTGGGAGGCTGAGGTGGGTGGATCACCTGAAGTTAGGAGTTCAAGACCAGCCTGGCCAACATGGTGAAACCCCATCTCTACTAAAAATACAAAAATTAGACCAGGCACGGTGGCTCACGCATGTAATCCCAGTGCTTTGGGAGGCTGAGGTGGGTGGATCACTTGAGGTCAGGAGTTGGAGAACAGCCTGGCCAACATGGTGAAACCCTGTCTCTACCAAAAATACAAAATGCAGCTGGACGTGGTAGTGCATGCTCATAATCCCAGCTACTCAGGAGGCTGAGGCAGGCGAACCTAGGAGGCGAAGGTTGCAGTGAGCCGAGATCGTGTCACTGCACTCCAGCCTGGGTGACAGAGTGAGACTGTCTCAAAAAAAAAAAAAAAAAAAAAAAAAAAAAAAAGCTAAAGAACAAACAAACCAAAACCTGACACCTTTAAACTCTGAGACCATAGGAGATACCTAGTATCCCTTCACTAATTTATTAGAAGATGCTTTCTTTCCCTTGTACTCAATTTTCTGCTAACCAGATTCTCTGTGAATATGATTCAAGTAGTTTAATACAGTACGAAAGTGCAGAGTATGGGAGATAATAAACAAGAATAAGATTCTGAAATTTAAAAGAAAGGTTCTGAGATACTTTTGATGCTGCAGATAAATGACATGAGCTTAAGTGATTAAATTTATTCAAAAGGAGTTACTGGGGCAGCCTTTCTGGTGGCGAATAACCAGGTGAACATTAACCACAGTGGCCAGTGGGGTGAGACTTGAGCTTCTCAACCTCAGCTCTGGTGACATCTGGGGCCAGATCATTCTTTGTTGCGGGGACTGTCCTGTGCACTGCAGGATGATGAGCAGCATCCCTGACTCTACCCATGAGATCCCAGCAGCACTTCCACTGGCTGAGAATCACGGGGTCCAATGGATACAACCAAATGCAAACTCAATGATTTGTAGGGGGAAAGCACAGCTTCCTGGGGGAACAACCCGTGTCAGCTTCACAAAGCTGGAGGCAAGCCTGGGGGAATGGCCTATGGTGAGGGCACAGGGCCTCTGGAGTGAGTGAGGTAGAGTGTTATGGAGTAGTACCCACCTTGACAACTGCATCCCTTCCAGCCAAACTCAAGACTGGAGAAGCAACACTGGCTTACACAGCTGAAGGGGTCCTGGGGAAGAGACGGGACTTGCAGACTCAACCATTGCTCCGCAAGGGGGTGGCCTGGGGGACAGTGAGAAGGATCTCGCCACCCACCTCTGGGCCTTTGCATGTCCTGACAACTCCATCTACGATAGCCACACCTCTTCCCCCACTCCATCTGGCTCCTCCTTACTCTTCAGGTCTCAGCTCAAATGGCTTTCCCGCCCCACCCCCTGAAGGTTCTCTGATCCTTTCCCTGCGGCCACCCTCCCCTGGCCCTGCCAGTCTGCTCAGTGGTGCCTCGCATCCAAACTTCTAGTGCAGAACTTGTCACCTTGTCACACACACACTGTGTATATTTATATGGATTGCAGGAGTTTGGTTTTCTGTTTGTTCCTCCCATTAAAATATGAACTCCATGAAGACAGGGACCCTGTTTCCATGGAGTACCACACTCCTCCCAGAAGCCAATGGGGCACCCAACACATGGTAGACATCCCCACCCCCACCAAGTATCTGCTAAATTGATGAGGGAAACCACTTTTCCACTGAATGGCAGGAGAGGTCCAATAAGTGAAGCTCATGAGGATGGAATCAAGCATGTGGTCACCGCAGCAAACAGTGGCATCAATGTGGACGTTGGTTTATTTCTGCAAAGTGTGCCAGGCAGAAGCTGATCCCAGACAACAACGTGGGACATGTGCAAGTTTCTGTCTTTACCCACATATTTTTGGGGGTGTTCACCAGTACCTTATTATGATACATCTTTTGGACAAATGGTTTGTACCCTGAGCCCAATTACACACCCTCAATGTGTCGACAACTTATATCAAAAGCCTGGTGAGACAGTGAACTGCTAACCTGGGTGGTAGAGTTCTATGCTTCGAAACTGGTATTATAAAGAATGATCGTTTGCATATTGATCAGGGAGGGTGGAGAGTAAGGGGACAGGGAGGGCTGTTCAACAAAGACTCAGCGAGCCTCTGATTATGTCTGTATTTCAAAGAGCACAGGTCATGGTTGACACGCGGGCAGCAAGCACACTGCTGACATCTAGTCTGCTTGGTTCCTCACCACCACTGCCAGGTTCCAACATCAAGAACACAGAGACATTTCCGTCTAACTTTTATATGAAGAATTTAATTATCTATACACGTAACTAATTCAAAAGGTTGTATTACAGTTGTTAAAGCCGCAGGTTTATATATTTATATATTTTACATTCATATCCGTGAAAATACTGAAGCGCAACTGAACGAGGAGGAGAGGTCCTCGCTCTCTGCACCATGTGAAAGGAGAAGGACCTCTACACGACCACCAGCACAGCCTCCCGACCGCTGGGAGAACGCGAGGGGAGCGCGCGTTACAGAGTCTTTAGGAGGACAGCTAGATTGTGCTTGAGGCTCCCCCTGCCCCATTTTCTGTGCCGTGAGCAGCAGGCATTTTTATTGAGAGCTTCCAACTAGTGTTTAAAAGACAAACAGGGCTTCGGCTACAGCATATCTAACACACAAACGGACCATGAGCTCCATTTCATATTAATCTGTAGAAATTCCACAGTCTAGTTAAAAAATGTAAACATTGGAAATTAATTGCAGGGAGACTTCTATACATTCTTTCTTGTCAAGAAAATTACTTGTTCAAAATAGGTCATTCCATGAAAAGTAATTGGAATAAAACTTCATGTAACAGAGACTAAAAAGAGATTGTGGAGATCGTTGATCCTAACGACCTCAACGGTGTTGTCTACTGATTTTATGCGATGCAAACACGCAAAATTAAAAACCCCAAACAAAACACCAACTCAACCAGATAAATCTGAGACCAAACAAAAACAGAGTGCTTTCTCATGTGGCTACAGGGTCACTGTGCAAAATCAAATCAAATGCAGTATGATTAGAGCATCGTACAAGGTAATAGCTTTGCCATGGAAAGAACTGATTTCTTATGTACAGGATGTATTACATGCTCAACAAGGTACAGCTGATACACACAAACAAGCACAAACACCTTCGCTTTAATTGGGCTCATTCTACACGTCTTTAAAACAGAGATACTGAACTCCTCTGTACTTCTATAGCAAGGGGGGAAAGCCCCAAACTACACAATTTAGTTGGTAACACTGGACAAAATGAAAAAATACATCAAGTCTCAGATTTATGGACATTTGGAACAATTTTTAATAGCACATGCAGCATTCCTTGATAGTGGGTCTTTTTGCAAAACCAAAATAGCAAAGAAGTCATTTATTTATTTTGTTTATTAAAAGGCTAAAATATATATTTAAAAATAATTTTAAAACTATTGAAAGCACCTGTGCAAAGGTGGGGGAAAGTCAATTTGAGTAACTAGGAAAGCCACAAAAGGACCCACTACCCTGTGTGTTTTTGTAATTTTTGCTCCTATCTCTGCAAGTAATAACTCAAACATTGCGATCACATGCAACTAAGGTAAAATGAGGTAAACTGCTCTGCAGTGAGTTCTTCTACTCAGAAGGCAGTAGGTGATCATGCTGGAAGTCACATGATCAAGGCTGCATCTCCCATCATCCCTCTGGGCAGTGATATGGGATAGTGGGTCTCTTTGAGGACTTTCAAGCCTGAGGGGGGGATGGACAACATATGATTCCTAGAAAAAGGAGGAAAACAACACATAAGCAAAACAAAACAATGAGCAAAATTCAAGCTAGGAAAATGAGTCAGGCATGTAAACAGCATGGTGCCAAAATGATTTGGGAAAAAAAAAAAAAAAAAGGAAAAAGGAGGGAGGGGAGGGAGGGGACATGCTACAGAAGGAATGAAAATTAAAGAAAAATAAAACCCCACGAGTTAAACTCTTGCATTACAGAAGGTCTTCAAAGAGACGATTGTGAATGCAGCAATGGTCTAGCTTTAAGTTCTGCAAACAAAGCTCAGCAGAATCAGAGCAATGCTGCATGTTTTACCGGAAGATACCAGAGAGGCAAGGCGACAGAGCCACCAGGGCACTTACATTGCTGGCTTGGGTCCATGTCTGTGGTCAGCTTCACATAATTGGATGGGAAGAGCCCCACTTGTCCATTGACTTCCCCCTTCCACCAGTCGGGGTCCTCCTTGTTGAGGACGTTGATGATCTGGCCCTTGTTGAAGGCCAGCTCGTCGTCGTTCTGCGCAGTGTAGTCGTACATCCCAATCACCTGGCACACTGCAGGAGACAGGGCTGGGTGAGCGGCTGCACACCCACCGAAGAACGCGCAACGGGCACCGCGCAGCCGTTCAACATTCCCAGCTACTCTTTCTGTACTTTCAGAAGAGGGTGACAGTAGGTGGAACCGTTCTATTGGGCTTTTTGCAGTGTGGGCAATAGGGGAAGATGAAGAATTAAAAACCAAGACAACAGCAAAATTTTCACACTAAGTCTTTAGAGTTTTGTTTTGTTTTGTTTTTCGGTTTTTTTTGAGATGGAGTCTCACTCAATCGCCCAGGCTGGAGTGCCGTGGAGTGATCTCGGCTCACTGCAAACTCTGCCTCCCAGGTTCATGCCATTCTCCTGCCTCAGCCTCCCAAGTTGCTGGGACTACAGGTGCCTGCCACCTCGCCCGGCTAATTTTTTTGTATTTTTAGTTAGAGACGGGGTTTCACCGTGTTAGCCAGGATGGTCTCAATCTCCTTACCTTGTGATCCGCCTGCCTTGGCCTCCCAAAGTGCTGGGATTACAGGCGTGAGCCACTGCGCCCGGCCAGTCTTTAGTTTTTATAATATCATCCTCTTTTTCATGTTTACTTGTCAGCAGAAAATGTACAATGCTAATTGAGGGCTTTCGTTTCGAGTGCAGTGGAACTCCTTTCTACTGCTGACTCCAGAAAGACCGGCCCAACTCCATCCCATCTTCTGCTGCACAGCACAGCTGTGTGTCATGGGGACTTTACTATCATTTTTTCTTTTTGGTTTAAAGTAGAAGGTAATCATCATTTGACCTCCAAGAATCCCAAATCTTAGGGAGAACTAAAACTAGTGATTGATTGATTTATTATTTATTTGAGACAGAGCCTTGCTCTGTTGCCCAGGCTGGAGTGCAGTGGCACGATCTCAGCTCACTGCAACCTTCACCTCCAGGGTTCAACCGATATCTGGTCCTTTCGAAAGAGGCCTCAGCCTCTTGAGTAGCTGGGATTACAGGCATGCACCACTATGCCTGGCTAATTTTTATACTTTTAGCAGAGACGGGGTTTCACCATGTTGGCCAGGCTGGTCTCGAACTCCTGGCTTCAAGAGAGCCACCCGCCTCGGCCTCCTAAAGTGCTGGGATTACAAGGCGCATGCCACCACATCATGCCTAAAACCAGTGTTTCAAAAGATTTTCCTGCTGCTGTATCTTTGCGTCTCAAAATGTTGTCTTGAAAGAAATCTCCACCCTCAAGAACAATTTTTCTTTTCTCATTTTCTCTCAAGCCTATAGGAGGTAAAACTGTTCTCATTCTTTGGCACTTCTACTTCAGATGAGTCTGCACCAACAGGTCACAGTCCCTGTGAATCTTTCTTAACCAGCCTATATAAATAGGTTTAGGCTTTTCAAATTCTCCAGCTAATTCAATCACTTCAGCAACTGATTTCGGCGGGCCTGAGGAAGGGGCTGTACACGGAAGTGGAGGGATACTGACACATCTCCCCAGGGGACAGCAAACCCTGCAGGAACCACATTCCTCAGCCTACACGAGGCCACAGCTCAAGCAAAGAGGCCCAGTGGGAACTGGGGTTCATCACAAAGTTTGCCCATCCTTTAATTTCTTGAGAAGGCTGCCAGGTTTTAATCTTATCTCATTGGGCACATACAGCACAGATATTTAACCACAAGGTATTGGAACAAAAATTCTACACTTTCCACAAAAGCCAACCAAGAATGGGTAGCTTAAAGACCTAAAACAGAAACCTGCTCCCCTGACCTCAGCTCTCTCAGATCTTGCTGAAGCATCTAATTTGGTCCCTTCAATCAGAAAACAGCCAACTGGGCCAACTGCTGTGCTCTGTTCTTTTCCAGTCCTCCAGGAAAGTGTGTACAACATCCTGCCCGCCCAGCAGAGCCCCCTCTGCCCACAGTGAATGTCACAGGGGAGCTATTTTGGTCTTCAGTGAACACCACATTACAGCCCCCAACCCCCGTGGCCCCCAGCTCCATCTCCTGACCTACTGAGACCCCAGCCATTTATTTTTGGGTGTCCCTTTCTGTCACCTCACCCCCTAGCCTGAACCCCAATGTAAATGGCTGGAAGGAAATCAAGAGGAAAATGTGGCCTTAATGCCACAGCATTCATGACTCCTGCAGGAAGAGCGTTCCAACAAGGGTTCTGTTGTATGCAGCACAGAAAAGCCACTTAGATATCTGGTCCTTTCGAAAGACATATTCCGTATCACATCAGTTGGGTGTCAGTCCCAGCAAGTACAAGAAGTGCTTTAAAGCACATGCGAAAAACAACGTAAATATATTTAATGAGGAAATCAAGTGGAAAAACTCAAGTGACACGCAGACCATTTTCCAGTTAGAAACGGGAAACTCCTTACCTGCCGCTAACGCTGTTGACTTAGGTGGCTCTGTTGGAGTGATTTTGCTCGTCCCAGGGCTTAGAAGTTTTACATAATTAGCTGGGAACCAGCCTATCTGGCGCTTTTTCCCACGTGCCTGGTAAGAAAATAATTACATCAAACATTTTTAAAGGCTCATCTTTTATAATACAGCTCACTTTATAACAGAGCAGTTATGTAAAGCTTACATATAACTGAAAAACAAACGACATTAAGAGTAAAATCTATGGATTACTGTGTCACAAAAGTAAAACACCATAGCTAAAATTCAAATTGTGGCAATCACTGGTTAGCAAAGCCCAGAATGTTTTTGCTTGGGCTAGACCATGTGGATCACAAAATCAGGATATACCATGGATTGCCTGGGATAGAAAATTCTGCTCATGTAATGCTAGCACTCAGCTGTTAATTTCAGGTAATGCAGACATTATGGTTAATGCCAACACTGTATATGGGTTTTAGGAACAATAATAATAATAATGATGATGGCCATCAATACCGAGTACTTCTTTTTTTTAAATTAATTACTTTTTTTTTGAGATGGAGTCTCGCTCTGTTGCCCAGACTGGGGTGCAGTGGCGCAATCTAGGCTCACTGCAAGCTCCGCCTCCCAGGTTCACGCCATTCTCCCGCCTCAGCCTCCCGAGTAGCTGGGACTACTGGCACCCACCACCACGCCTGGTTAATTTTGTTTTTGTATTTTTAGTAGAGATAGGGTTTCACCTTGTTAGCCAGGATGGTCTCAATCTCCTGACCTCGTAATCTGCACCCCTCGGCCTCCCAAAGGGCTGGGATTACAGGCGTGAGCCACTGCACCTGGCCCTCACTGAGTACTTTTTATGAGCCAGGCCCTGTGCATTTAGGCACACAATTCCAGAAGGATAGTACTATCATTATTCCCAATTTCCAGATGAAAAGTTGAGTGACAGCCCCAAGGCCACAGGCAGTTAGTGGCAAGCCAAGATGCACTCATGTGTCTGCATGCTCCTTTATGGGTAATATACATCAAGATGACACACATGCAGTACACACAGAACACAAGGAGACTCGATGTTATTTTCACAAACCCATAGGCCCATGTGATGGCTAAAGCCACATTTTTCACTGCCATTTCTTTCTCACTTAATTCAATCTGATTCAACACAAGATTCATCTATGCAGTGTTTCTGCACCATGCTGTTAGAAAGGGACAGTAGATGACTGTCCCTATAAACCAGGGGAGTTTGCAACCAAGTTGGTGAGGCAGGTTTTGCAGTTAGGACACAATCCCATGAAAATACTCGAGTTAGGGATCATGAGTCGGGCTTTGACTACCCTTCTGTACACCACCAAGAGAACCCAAAACTACTCGTGCATACACACGCATGCGCACACACACACACACGTCTAGAAACAAGGCTCTGATCAAAACAGTTGCCTCTGGGGACAAGGGTGGGAGGGAGACATTTATATTCCCTCATAACTTTTGAATTTTAAACCATGTGACTATAATTACCTATTCCCCAAATAAGGAAATAAAACAAAAAGAAAACTTCCACCACATTACCTGTGCCCTCCCACCTGCCAGTTTATCAAGAGGGATACCTCTGGGTCACTTTGAGAACACAGAGCAGGCTTCACTTTTCCTTGAGGTCTGACAGATTTCATTCCCTTGGCTCAAGGACTAAAGCTTTTACGTTCACAGTGAACCTGCCGATGACTGAAGCCATTTGGTTACAAGTTTCCACATTTATCCACCGAGTGTCCACCATTCTGCTCGCAATGACACCCTTTCCCACACCTCTGCAGCAGAGCACAGACCTCGCTGGTGTTTCCTCATTTGTGGATCCACACGGAGAGTCACTCTGGTGACAGCGCCAGGAGCTCTCCTGGCCCATGGCAACTCAGCCTCTTTATTGTGGATTCTAAGAACCACTCAAACTCTCACTTTAGCACAGTGCTAGAGGTGTGGGGACTGAAAAATACAGCTGCTGCCTCCAAGGGGCTAGTCAGCTACATGTGGAAATAAGAAATGTGCACAGAAAGCAAAGTAATATAAAATACTAAAGAGTGGTGCTGGCACGGGGCCACCGCTGGAGCTCAGGGGAGGGAGACGGCACTTCTGGTTGGGATGGTCACAGAGAGCTTCCAGAAGTGGGATCTGCCAGCTCTTGCGGGAAGTGGAGAGGTGGGAGTCGGCTGGCCCCTGGGGAGAAATGTCATGAACAAAGGCAGCGAGGCAGAAGAGCAGGGGGTGTTGGTGTTTCAAAGACGCTGGAGTGGAGACGTCATTGCTCAGCGGTAAGATGTGAGGCTACACTGGGGAGAGGGGCCCTGCAGGAAGCCTTTCCCTGGCACGCGAGGAGGAAAGGCGATGGGAGTCTCCCATGTCTCCAGAACAGGATGGGGCATGATGCTGGCAGGGCCAATGGGTGACACAGCACAACTCTAAGCAGGGAGTGGGACCTGAGGGTCTAAGGAGGCCTCTCCCTCCCCAGCACAGGAGAAGGCATGTTGATAAAAAGGAGTGGATTTTCAGGCCTCCAGAGGTCAGATTCCTGAACCAGTGAGTAGCATCTGGCCAGCACTCCTGGAAAGGACAATTATGGGTGTCCACCAGCGAGCTCCCCAGGGGAAGTTTCATCTTCAGTTACACTCCAGGTTGTGCCTTCTATTCTGGCCAAGATGCATTTCTTATATATTCAGCTCTCCAGTGTGGCTCTTCCTGTCCCGGCCTCAGGCTCACCTCCACAGAGTGGTAGACGCGACTGTGTGAGACCCGAGGCCTTCCCCAGCAAGGCCTTCTTCCTTCGTGCTCCTGCTGTTCTAACCCCCATTCCTCAGCACCCGAGGGTCTGTCTTCCGTGGCTAGCCCACTGCATGGCAAAGGTTTCCTGCCTCCCTCTTCCCCCTCAAACTTACATAGTTCCATACCGTCCTGCTCATGGGCAGACAAACACCAGCAGATTGGGGAAGTCAGTCTACAGGCCCACTAATGGCCATCAAAGGGTTCCCACAGGCCCCTTCCTCACAAAGCATTCCAGAAACCATTCCTTCCTATATCTGGCCAAGTCTTACTGAGGCCCCCTGTGTTACGCAGAGGCCCATGTTCAACAAAGGCCAGAGAGATGGACGGCTGCTGGGAAATTCAGCTCTTCCACAGGCCCCACATGGGCAAGCCAGGGAGCAAGCCCCGTCCTTCACTAAGCTATGAAGCAGGTGGCCAGGTGCCCGCCTGGCGGTCTGAGGCTGATCTTCACTTTGGATGGGGGAGGATGCGGGGAGGGAGACACACTTTCCATATGAAAAGTCAGCCGGCTTACCTCTCAAGTAACTGCTGTAGTAGTAACTTTTTAAAGGCAACTTTTTATTTAGAAATGATTTCAAACTCACGGAAAAGTGGCAAGAATAAGAAAAGCACACGGAACACCCGTAGGCCCTTTACCCGAATTCACCTACTGTCAACACTCGGCGGGTGCCAGCTGCTCCCTCATTTGTGTGCTTTCTCTCTCCCTCCCCACCCTCTTCTCTGTAAGTTCTTTTTTTGAATCATCTGACTGCAAGTTGCTTACATCTTAACTCTTTACCCCTAAATACTTCAACGTGTATCTCCTAAAAATATTCTCTTATATAACCACCGTACAGTTATTGCTTTCAGTAAATTTAACACCGGTACAATAATTTTGTCTAATCTAGTGTCCATAACCCAATTTTGTCCATTATCCCAATATTGTCCTTTACAGCGTGATTTTCTTTCACACACGGTCTAGATACTGCACTAAGTCTAGATACTGCAGTCAGTCCTCACGCCTCTTTAGCACCCTTTCGACAGGTTTTGACTTCTACAATCGTGACATTTTTGAAGAACAGTCACTCCCTCCTCGCTCCCGGCACAGCTGCACACACATGATGCCCTCTGGTCTCCCCACTGCTCATCATTCTGATCACCTCATTCAGGTGTTGTCCTAGCTCTCCACTTTATAATGACTGTGTTTTCCCCTGCAGATCATGAGTGATCTGTGGGGGTCACTTAAAAACCATGCACATTTACTGCTCCTACTGAAAATTTTCCTGCAGATTTGGCATCCATCGATGATTCTAGGAAGTTTTACCACGAGAATTGTGTAACAGCAATCTTTTTAAAGCATCTTTGTCTCTGGAAATGAGACCTATAGGAAGTTTCTGGAATGGTAAAATGTGTAACAAGATGATATGATTAACAATACACACACACGCGCGCACACACACACAGGAACTAAAAATACTGTGATGTATGGATGTGGCTTTGAATGCAAAGAAACCTGCTCTTGTGCCACTGAGGAAAAGCTCCACTCTCTAATGCCAAGGCACACAAGGACGATGCTATGCAGGCGTCCCTCATGATGATACGAGTTCTCACTGTGCTGACACTCACTGTCTGAACTCAGAAATGGAACAGATAACGTTTTCATATGAGCTCCCAGCTCTCAGAAATCTGGTACCAGCTGTCTGAAACTTAGGAACTAAACAAATACAGAAAATTTGGCATCTCTCACTATCCAAATACAGAATTTAGGCAGTGAGGGGTGGTTTGTACTTTACAATAAAATAGCGTCCCTTTGAGATTTTGTGTATTGAAACTTGGATGGAGAATTGTAAATAAAGAGAAAAGACACTGACTTGCAGCTCTCCTTCCCACCATCCACCTGGGTTCTTTTTTCGGATCAAAATCAGCTGACCAGGGGCGAGAGTGAGCTGCTCGGGGCCGGTGGCGGTGTATGAGGCAATAACCTGGGCAATTTCTGAAAAACAAGATCAAACATGGCAGTGCACTGTTAGAGTCAGCAGGAGAAAAGGGCAAGAAGATGTGGGCGCCTCCCAGGTTCACAGATGAACACATCAAAACCAATGTATTGGGCTGGATTTCTACTCAACGAGTAAGGCTCCCTGAATCGCCCCTGTTCCCAGAGCTACCAGGCAGATGCGGCATTCAAGGGCTTGGCTGATCCTCGAGCCCTCAGTGGGCTGCAGACTCCCTTGTCACCCCGCGAAACTTACCAACTTCCCTCCACAAAGTCCGCTCCTTGCCCACTCCTGGCACCTTCTGTCACACCCCTCCCATAATTACCGGGAATGCCCTGAGGCCACAGGTGGGAGACTCCTTTGCCACCCACCCCAGCACAGCAGCACTCAATGGCTGAGCTGCCACTTTAAAGTGACTAGAGGACTCCATAGCTTTCCCAGCTGCCAAGTACAGCAGAAACAGAGGCCTGTTTTCCTCAGAAACCACTGGGAGCCCGGCAAGAGCTTATTTCTATGTTGTTGCTGCAGATTCTCACTCCCAACGACACAGCCTTCTTCTTTGTGCCTCACATTTTGAGTGATCCCTGAATATCAAGTGCAAATCATGGCAGGGAAAATTTCTTTCTTTTTATTTCACATTATAGGAGGGACCTGGAGTTAAGAAGGGAACCTTATGCAAAAACAATTCAGCACAGGGAAAAAAATGTAAACGGTTCTGTACTTTTCCTGAATGTGAAAAGTCCCATGGGAAAAATTCCAGCAGTACCACAGACCAGGCTCTGAAACACACATTTCCCCTGGCCCAGGAGATCGAGTATGAAAAAACAGAACCCTTCTCTGCCTGAGTTCTGGCACATCTGCAGCTACACTTTCTGAACTTCTAGAAGCAATACAGAACAAACTGTTCTACTCCTCTACCCTTGCTCTCCAAGTGTGGTCTGTGAAAGAAAGGAGAAAAGAAGGAAAGGAGGACAGAAAGAAAAGAAGAAAGAGGGAATGAAGTAAAGAAGAATGGAAAGGAAGAACGGAAAAAGGTCCCAGGTTCTGACGAGACTGCCTACTTTTCTACTCACTCCAGGGAACGAGTAAGACTCTGGCCCTTAAGCAAGCCGCTCTCATCCTGTTCTGCATGCTATCAGGGGTTGGCCACCAGGACAGAAGCACCCGGCAGTCACGGTGCAGGCCTGGCCCTGCCTGATGCTTTGGAGAGCTCAGGGCAAGCAAGAAAGGCCACAGCACGGTCTACTGGCCCAGCCTAGGCTCTGACTGGGAGCTCCAGTTGGGATGTCTGCACTGGGATGAGGGCTCTCCTGCAACTAACCAAAGACCACTCTTGGTTCTAAGAGTTTATGGCTTGAAGAAAGACCAAACTAGTGTTCTATTTGGCACTGGATGTTCTTGCTCCTCATGGGACCTGGCAGATGCAGCCAGCAATCTGCCCCAACATTCTCTGAGGTCTTTTGTGTCCTTTCTTGCTAGTTTCAGTGCAAAGTAAAGCCCACCTGAGCATCATCTATGAAATATCTGCACCCTCTGGAATGACAAATGTCCAAAACTTAGAAAACTTACACTTAAAACAGAGATTTGGTGGGTGGTCCAATGTATCTCCTTCCATTGACTGTATTTGTCTAAAATAAAATCCTAGACTATGTGAAATTTCCCTTTCTTTTTCTGGCCATGTAAGCCCAGTTGGAGCTGGGCACCAGACAGACAAGCGAATCCGTCTTTTGGCATTTCAGTGACTGTTTTAACCTGTAATTTCCTAAGGATATGATAGCAAAAAAGCTCAAATGACCCAGACCAGGAAGACGTGCCACAGAAACCATATTATTTCACATCCGCTTTCTTTTCTTTTTCTTGCTATTTATAGCACATGTGATTTTATTGAAATAAACTAAAACACTTTGGATTCAGAGGTGTGACTATAATTTTGTACCTTCAACGTGTACCAAGGAAAACCATCCAATGGCTTCTAAATTAATAGGACCTACACTCACATAATATCTGTTGCTCCTCTAATCTTCTCCATTGTTTGTGTCCTGGGAATGCATTATTAGGAAATGAAAAAGGGCTAACCAAGCCTAAGAGAAGACGGAGAAGCAGTTGAGCCCATAATCCTACAGCTCCATGTATTATAACTTCCCAGTATCTCGCCTGAATTATTTATTTATGTATTTATTTTATTTTATTTTTTGAGATACAGTCTTGTTCTGTCGCCCAGGCTAGAGTGCAGTGGTGCAACCTCAGCTCACTGCCACCTTGGCCTCCCAGGTTCAAGCAATTCCCCTGCCTCAGCCTCCCGAGCAGCTGGGATTACAGGTGTATGCCACTATGCCTGGCTAATTTTTGTATTTTTTTGGTAGAGACTGGGTTTCCTCTGTTAGCCAGGCTGGTCTTAAACTCCTGACCTCAAATGATCCACCTGCCTCGGTCTCCAAAACTGCTGTGATTACAGGTGTGAGTCACTGCACCTGGCCTCACCTGAATTATTTCTCGACAACCCAAGAGAACATTCTGTCAGGTGACGTCTCCACTCTTCATGTGTGAAGCAACAGACGAATCTCATAACCAAGTGAAATTATTAATGGATTCCAAGGAAAGGACTTACTCTCACCACTCTTAGGAAAGATTCTTTTTATTTTAGGCTTCTGGCCCTAATACACAAAGATGGGGAGCAACTATCAATTACATTCAAAACATTGAAAAGTAAGCATCAGGGTTTGTAACTTACCAGGTTTTTTTCCTAAACTCCCTGTTTTCCCAGCAGTTCCAGAGCCCTTAAAACAGAGCAAAAGGTCTCATTTGCATGCTGAAGTTTTGATCATGCAACTTTAAAAACGATTAATGATGACACAAACCCGCTTGAGCCCCAAAGCCCCACTTTTCATTCTGGGAAAACACAGCACTGTATCACCTGACACAGGATATAGATCAGGAAAATATGGGACAAAATAAGTACTTTAAAACATGTGGCTTTTACTCGTTTCTATAAGAGAAAAAAACAGCAGAGTATGGGGCCCTGTAAGAGCCCAGAGGGCTCCGAGCACAGGCACTTCTTGGACCTGGTCAAAGCTAACAGGAGGTTCCAGGATAGGAAGACTGTTAGTTTACGTCCTAAATACTAAGCTCGGGCTTATTTTCACATGGTTAATTATGAAGTATTTCACCTATAAAAAGTACAGTGAATATAACTCATGAGCCTACCACCCGGATTTAACACATTAAAATATTAATATTTTGCACATTTGCTTCAGGAGCTTTCGTTTTTAAAAAACTAACACAGTACAGGGACAACTGGAACCTCTCTTCCCCCATCCTATTCACCCCTCTCTATCCAAAGAGGCAGTGGCTGTCCTGTGTGGCCTTTCCACTCAATTTCACAGCGTTTATACACTGAAATTTCTCTATCAATGCAGAGAGGCAGAGCATATTTCTTCCCAACTATCAAGTGTTTAAAAAGTGCTCTGGGGTTGAATTCCTCTCTGGGATACTCATGGAATTTTAAACCAGCCAAGTAAGCCAACAACAGAGACCACGAGAGGCAGGACAGGAGCCAGAACGGAATCTGTTGTTACAAAGTGCTTTATTCTAAATTAATTTATGCTTGAGTCTATCTCGCAGTAAATTAAGTATTCCAATTAAAACAAAACAAAAGGCTTAGTAAACTAAACATGAGTTACTGAAAGAATAAAAATATGCCATTTATCTACCAGGAACACAACTTACAGTCTCTTTATTTTGCTTACTGAAATTTAAGAACCATTTACCAGGAAAAGTTTGGGTTAAATTTTTACACTGATTCTGCTTTATTAACAAACAAAGTTATACAATAGCAATCTCTCACTATTTTTCAATAGGCTGCATATCAAAAAAAAAGGAATACCAATGAAACAAGACTCCAGTGACCACTTAACTTTCCTAGTACAGGCTTAGAATCGACTCCCTATACTCCATAAAAAGAACAAGGCAATTGGCAGTACCCAACAGTAGAGTTCAAGTAGTTTCAATGTGCTCCCTTTGAAAAACCCCAGCCAGTCCCATAAGCTGGGATGGATTCAGAAGGCCATGTTCTGTCCTCCCAGCACCTATAAAGCCCCCCAGACTGTGCCCCAGACCTGCCCATACAGAGAAGGGAAGCAGGATGGGACAACTCTCCCCATGCCCAGACATCAATTCTGGTATCTGAAGCTGGGTCTGGTGTAAAGTTTGGTCAGATATTTTGCTTTTACACTGAACTCTGCATTCAAGTAGGATGAAAGAGCTGAGTTTTCAGATTTTTTTTCATTATTATTGAATAGTATCGCTAAATGTATATCTAAAAATTTTTAGTACTGCTAGTTCTTCTGTGGCTAATAATTTAAGACTGTGGTTAAGAAAGTAGCTTACAACTCTACTTACCTTAAAAAAAGGTCACTGTGTTTTCCTAATATTTATTTCAGATGGTTTTATTAAAGTAGAGAACTGTAACTTATTAAAATACATTACAAGTAATAACTTTTGTATTTTAACTGATCCAAAAAGTCAAGTCACTTTAAGAGTTCTCATGCACGGTAGTAGAAATTAAGTTTGGCTTTTAGGGTTTTACCCAACTCCCCTGAAATAACATCTATATGACTCTCATTGGACTCGGCTTGCTGGCCTGGAGAAGAATTTAATTCTCTGTTTCCAGGTCTGAAAAGTCCAATATGCCAGCTGTCTCACAGGGCAAAATTATTTTCTTCCAGGCTTCTGCCAAATTCTCCAAGGGTGGGCAGACTTAAGTAAATCCATCCATGGGAATTCCACTTAGCTGCTCTCAAGACCGCAGCAAGAAAAACCAAAAAGCAAAACAATGCCACCCCTTAAAAAAACAAAATCCAAGCAAATAAAATCGTTCCTGGGAGCTGCAGGAGAGGTGAGCAGGCCAAGGGCAGGACTACTACAGCAGGGCACCAGGCCCAGCCTCGCCCCCAGAGCAGCGCCGAGCACATGGAGCTGCACATGGAAGAGCCCAGTATACCCTCTACGACTGGCATTTGAAATAGAGAACTTTGTCCTCTTGCTTACTCCTGAGAAAGCGGCCCCTGCAGGCTCCCTGCCAGCCTTTTCTCTCTCAGTACCTACGAGGTATGAGGAGAAAAAGAAAATTACTGTGAATTGACTGTCAATGCTTTAAAAAATGAGTCAATTCTTGTTGGCTTTTTAAAATGTGCACTGGATCTGTTAAATGACTCCATTTATACCCTGAAACTCTCCACTAACGTGCAAGTGGCTCCTACAAGACTGACTCCCATACTCTGTGGTAAGTCCACCCCACCATTCCATTAAAACTGCACTATCTTAAGACCACAGTTTATGCGATCAAACTTTTAGGGCTCTATTTAACAATAGTGGGAGCCCTTCCAATTTATACAGATAATAGCACTTAAATTCAGTCCTGATCAACGGAGATTCTAAGGCCTAGTCAAAAGTGTACCCATCTCTTAGATCTTGTGTCTTTCTGCTGTGTGGGCAAAACCAGAAATTCTAAAAACTTTCTAATACCCAATATTCTGGGGCGATTATCACCAGAATACTTCTGTTCATACAGGCAAAATATTGCTATCATTCTTGGGGCATTTAAAAATCAATGACCATAATGATCTAATCAAGAAAGTTTACTCCAAAGCATAAGTCGGTTACACGCAGGAAGAGAGCTTAATACTGAACATGATCCTCCCAGCTGATGTGGACCAGCCCCATCACACTCAGCCTCCACTTAGCCCTGATGCATTCTGCTTGGGGGAAGCCAATGCTTACTCCGCAGTGCCAAATAACAAAATCAAACAATGACAGGTCACACTGGATTTACTGTCACATTCCAGAACTTAGCAAAACCCAACAAAGTTCCACTGTCAAACATCGTGACTCCCTGCAAAGAGAATCACCGCACAGAAAGGGAGAGGAAACAGTTAATGTGGGTTTACCTCTGAATCTTTAAGCCTCACATAGTTAGAAGGGAAGACTCCGGACTTGTCGCCCACTGTTCCTGTCCACCAGTCACCATCTTTCTTGGTAACCAAAATCACATCCCCTTGCTGAAAGGTTAAATCTCCTTGCTCAGAACTCTCGTAAGTGTACATGGCAATAAATTCTGGTGGGGAGAAATATTGAGATATGGAGAGAGCTTGATTGTTTAAAGAAATCCCAGACAGCTTTGCAAAAGCAAGTTTACGAATAAGGAAGTTAGGACAAGATCCATTCAAGAGAAAGGCTAGTCACAGATAAAATACAGAGCTGCAGAATACCCTGGGCTCCACATTCCCCCCAGTGCACATAAAAGTTCAGTAGCTGCAGACAGGGAGACAATTCCTGGGAAGACCCAGACACAGGAACAAAAAACCCAACTGCATGTTTACTGACACTGGAGTATTTACGAGTGATCTGCCATTTAGTGTCATGATTTCTTTTTGAATGAAAATGGTTTTTACATTTATTTTTAACTAAGAGTTACACAATACCTACTCTGTGCTGAGCACTGGTTCAGATGCATTCAGATGCAGGCTCTTGGTAAGCATCTTAAATATGTGTATTTCAGTTTTGAGGGTACCAAGTCACAGTTTTAAAAAATTGTTAGACAGCATAAATCCTTTGCGTAAATTAAATAAGACATACTTTTCATTATTCAACTGCCTGAAAACTTATGTCCTATTGTGCCATATACACAATATGATAGGAAGCTGTTAGAACACAAAATGAGTTACACATATTATTTAGTTAAAAATGGGCATCTAGTTGTCATTCAAGAGCACAGAGAGGACTGATGAGAAAAGGAATGTCCAACCCAATCCCAGAAAGCCTTTCAACAAGTTAAAAAGACAAATCCCAGTTTATCATATTTTATTATCCATGTCATTTAGTCTTAAAGAATAAGAACTAATGTTCCTTTGTGTCTTGAATTTGAAGGGTGTGCATTACAGAAGAAACTTTTCTTTTTAATTAGACGTAGAACTTTGCATCACTCTTGGTGGATTTTATTAAGGCTTAGAACCAAATCACACTCTCAGAAAGATCACCAGACACAAAATCCTACATGGAGGTTCTAGGTACAGGATAAAAGATTTACAGAAAGATGCACACGCTTCTTGTTTCCACTTTTTCTCCATTTTATCCTAGGCTTTTGTATTTTTTTAAAGCAACAGAAAAATCACCATTTACCCAAAAAGTTCATTTTTATGACGGACAACGTCTGTTTCTCTCTAAATCTCAGATGATGTTCCTTTAATGTCCAGCCTCGTGTTGAGTAAGAGGCAGGACTTTTGTATGGAGAACTCCTTCGGTTAATTATCAGAGCCTCTGCAGGAGGTACTAATGAAAACTAAAACAAACAGACAAAAACACAAAAACCTCTAACCCTTGTGCTCACGTGGGCAGCCCCTGGAGCAACAAGGGCCTCCTTCAGCGCCAGTGTTGACCTGTCAGCGCCGAGGCCAGCAGCAATTGCTGGTGGAGAGCACTGGGCCCCATGGCAGACACAGGTCATTCAAACGTCCCAGGGAAAACAGAAGACCCTCTGTCTTTAGCCCTGAGGCGCTGGTAACACACACCTCCACAGTGAAAACTGGAAAAACGATTTCCCACACAAGGAAATCAAAGTTTGGTGGCTTTAATAGGCTCATTCTTTCTTCATTAACAGACTCATTTTTCTGATTTCTCCATACTCTCACCCTTCCCTTTTCATTCTGCCCCCTGTTACTGTTCTTTAGATCATATTTGGCCATTTAAGACAGGATCCTTGGCCATCAATACTTTCCCCAGTGATTCCTCAGCTTCAAAGTTACTTTCTTTAAAATGGATCCAAATTTTGAAGTAACTTTCCAAATGCTTAAGAAACTTCAGAAACATGAACTCTGGCTGAACTTGGTATTGCAGTATAAAATATAAAGGAGACTGGGAAGACCGAGGCTGGCCTTGCCCTGCCTGCCTTGCACAAAGGCATCTGAGAGTGGCTTTAGGGTGACAATGAAACCCAGAGACGTGATGACGGATAGGCAGAGGTTCCTCTTCAGCTACCCCTTCTCAGGAGACATTTCACAGAGGGCACTGTCCATCCCCAAACCAGTATTTTAAAAGTGACCCAAGCCAATCACCTATTTTATCTGGTTTACAGTTTACTTTAAATTTGATTATGTTCAATGTGGTATTAACAAGAGGCTCATTAATAAACGAAAATAGCTTTTCTCAGAATTTCTAAGGTTAATGTCCTCCCACCCCTTCACAAAGCCAGCAAGCTTTCCAATATTTCTAATAACTAAGTCATTTCAAAACGGCTGTAATAAATACAAACTAAGATCAGAATTTAACTCCATCATGCTGCCCAATTTTAAGTATATGCGTGGTTCACTTGTGACCTATTTATTGAGGCCTCAGTACATGTCTCAAAACAAATAAGGCCGGGCGCGGTGGCTCACGCCTGTAATCCCAGCACTTTGGGAGGCCGAGGCGGGCGGATCACAAGGTCAGGAGATCGAGACCATGGTGAAACCCCGTCTCTACTAAAAATAGAAAAAATTAGCCGGGCGCAGTGGCGGGCGCCTGTAGTCCCAGCTACTCGGGAGGCTGAGGCAGGAGAATGGCGTGAACCCGGGAGGCGGAGCTTGCAGTGAGCCGAGATTGCGCCACTGCACTCCAGCCTGGGCGACAGAGCGAGACTCCATCTCAACAAAACAAAAAACAAAAAAAACAAAAAACAAAAAAAACAAATAAACAAACATTCCTCCACACTGCTATTGGATGAGGATGCTCATACTTTACGTGGCTTTACCAGTAATCCAGGGAATGAAGCAAAAACGACATAAAAGTAGTAGACATTTACTGAGCTTTGTTCTAAAGACCTTCTGCATATTATCTCACTATCCTTGTAATAATTTCCTACCTCAAGGGGAGTTATCACGGCCAATTTACAGACAAGGAAGCTAAGGCATAAACAAAATAGTACTGTTACTAGATGGGTGAGTCAAGATACAAACTCCAGCCCTCCAGTGAGCCTTGACTGGATATAACACACCAAAGTTTTTTTCTTTCTTATTTTTTGGTGAGGTGCATAATTTGCTTTTTACTAAACTGCATGTGCTGTGTTTAAAGGAGCTTTTTGCCTTGTTACCCTAACAGTGGATAAAAAAGTCATTAAGATAATGACAGTGTATAAAGGGAACTCTGTTAATCATTTTCACGGTAATAGCAAAAAGGAGATGCTGGATTGTTTGGTGATGATAAGGTTTTATAGCTATGCTACGAACTAAAAAAAATTTTTACTTTAAAAAATCCTCTTGAAAAAAGAACATTGTTACTGTGAGTCTGAAATACCACTATACCTTAATCCTTGCTGTCTCCACCTAGAACAGCTGTTTTAATTATTCTATTTTTCATTGGGCAAGGTTTCTAAGGAATGTAACAATCTCATTATGGCAGACAAACTAAATAAAACATTCTATTGTCATGTAATGTATTCAAGGAACCCATAAAGAATTACTATAGAATTGGTTAGTTATGGCATCTGTTAACTACAACATTGCTCAGGCGTCTACACGGAAAACCCATCTAACTCAGGGAGCACTCTCCAGTTAGGATGTGATGATGGCTGTACCGAATGTGAAAAAGATGTGAGATTTTTACCATGAGGTTCTGAATTACACAGGTTTCGTTCGGTTGGCATCCATATAATATTTAGGATTATGTCAGCAAGTGGAGATTGAGAAAGAAAGCAATTATTTGTGTAATAAACACTCAAAATGATTTTTTTTTTAGTCCTAAATTGTCTGGTTTGGTTGTTTTCATGGAGTACATAAATTGAGTTTCAGTTTCATTTGGGATGGTACAGATGGCATTCATGTTACTGTGAGAACTCTAGTGGTCTGCGTAGTTACTTTTAAAAATGAAATACTTATCTATGAAGTCAGACAAGACTAGACTATGTTAGATGAAGCAATGACCACAATTTAGGTATAGAGATGCTTGGAAAACTTGATTCTTAGTGAACTGAATGGGTCTCTTGTAAAAGTCAAAGGGCTCATAATAAAATAAAATTAGAAAATTCAGTTTTTGATGATTAATATGTCTGACAGTATTTTCCATGAAGTACTCTGATTCTGTAAAGAGCTAAACTTTCATTTTACTGTAGTTTAATATACTGATCATAAATGTAGTCTATCTTAAGATGAAATTCAATCCAATTTCAAACATTTACGCAATGTCCTTGACCCTTCTGAAGAACATAATACAACTCAGGCCCTCACCTTCTCCCGAAACGACCGGCTTGGCTGCTGGAGAGGCTACTCGCTTTAGACTAGCAGGACTCTCTGAAGAACCAGACTCCATGCTGCAGTAAGGGAAGAAGAGAGTATTTTAATTTTTATCTTCGAAGAAAATAGTGCAACTGACACTGATTTTTCTGTTAAAACTGCTTAACTTTTAAAACTTTAAACAATTCACAGCTGAAATAGTTGTACTTAGCTAGTTTAAAAACACATAATTAGGTAATACAGAGGCATGACTCTAAGCTCGCATTCTTATTTTTCAGCACTTTGCTATACTGGACACATAGCTTATGTACTAGTTTGTTTCAAGGCAAGACTGACTGAGAGATGCTCATTGAATATTTTTGCTATATTCATCTTCTTAAAGCTCATAGTTTGTTTTGAACATTAATATGGTTGGAGGAATTAACACCTTAGGTTCCATGCTATAAGACCCTAATGAAAAAGACAATTAAGTCCTCTGATCATTTCCCCAAATCCTTTGGGTTTCTAAGTATTCAAACATATCTGGTACAGCACTGGGTGATAAGCATAAAGAGAGTCATAATCTCCAACTAATGCACTCTAAGAGAGTTCCAGGTCTCAGAGCTGAATTCCTTCTTGCATAAGGCAATGAAAAACAAGGCACATAGGTTTTCATGAGGGAAGAAAGAATGCACTTATCTGTAAGAGGCTCCCTTTTGGTACTCTCTATACTCTAACTTTTGCAGTTAAAAGATCTAGAAGACAAACTAATCCCGCAACGCCTGTCTGTGAATCCTAACTAGTGCAAACAGTAACTTAACACCTAATATTGTTTTCATCAAATACAAGCAGATAAATACAAAAATACCTGGTAGATTTCCTTACGGGCCCTGAAATGAGTTTGACGTAAGACTTGGGGAACCAACCCTTCTGACCTTGAACTTCTCCAAACCACCACATGTCTTGCTGTTCCAGGACGGTGATGACATCATTTTTGTTAAAATTTAAATGGTTGTCTTTTTTGGCTCTCCAAGGATACAGGGCTTGAGCTTGTAGCCCCTCCACCTTTTCACCCTTGTGTGGAATGACATAAAGGACCTCTCGTTACGTTGCAGTTTGTTATCAATCAGGGCAGACGTGAACATGGCACTTCTCCAACAAGCACAGGCCAGACAAGCACACACGGCCACAAAGCACCCTGAGGCAGCACAGCAGGAGGGCTGGATGCTTCACTGTTTCCCAACAATTGTTTATTTCCAAAAGTGGAGGCGAAAGCCTGCCAGCCTCCTCACAAAGTCACTGTCTGACCATCTATAACTCTCTCTTTCAACAAGCCAGGAGGTCACAATTATTCTGTTGTATCTATGCGCCTTTTAAATTTTGGTTCTATTTTCACTCTCAAGTTGCCCAGGATACCTCCCCGTTTCCAATTTGACTGGTGTTTTTAGTGGAGGATTAATACTGGAGCAGAAATTTTATGAACTATCATGAGATCATTAACTGGCATTTTAGTTTAGGTGGACCCAGGGAAATAGGTCCTATCTGGATTATGCTTGTTTTAGTTCCTTTTCAGAGAAAACAGGGATTTGGTGAGCGTAAATTCATTGTAATTACCATTTATTGTACATCTACATGCACTGCCCCATGAGATTACAAAAATGAAAAAAACAGTCTCTGCCTCCCCCAAATAATTTAGGGAAAAGCACTTTATTAACCATAAAACACTATAAAGATGGGCAGTATTATTAGCAAGTAACTCACAAGTAATGGGGAAGAAAGAGATAAAAACAACCATGTGTACCACCTGGCGGAATGCAATATACTGAAAAGGAGTTCCTACTATTCACTGCAGGAATAAAGAGGAAAGAGGGATGAATTCTGCCTGGGAGCATCAGGGTAAATTTCACAGAGGGGGCAGCATCTGAGATGGGCCTTGAAGGATGAGAAGGACTTTGACAGCTAGGGCTTCGGAGGAAGGGCACTCCAGGCCGAGGGCGCAGCATGGGCAAAGGCCTCGAGGTGGAACACTGCAAGGGGTCCGGGAAGAGAAGCACAATCCGGGGCTGCATGTGGCCTAGTCTCATGGAGGGGTGGAGGAGGAGGTCAGGCTGGAAAGGCAGGGTAAGGCATTTATTATCTTTTAAGAAGCTATAGCATTAAACCATTACAATATTTTAAAGCATTTAGTAAAAAATGAAACACCAAGTTTCAATCATATATATGAATGGGCAAGAACAAAGGACAATGCCTAGAGAGAGTTACTTCAGAACCAATTTGTACTTGCCTTCGGAAGTTATTTATATTATACTGACATTAAGTTATGATTATGTCTGATAAGCAGAGAGAATTTACAACAGGTCAAACAGTTTCAGCATCTATGCTGATAACCTCTAATTCCTGGTCTTCATGGGTTCTTACCTTCTTAAACCCACAACATCCCTATCCTATTTCCTTCCACTTAGCTGTACATTCACTCCTTCAAGTCCCTCAGAGCTGAGGGGGTTTCCCTGGATTTTGAACACCCCTCAGATTGTATATTCTCGACCTTGCATTTTCCCCCTTGCAGCGGACCTGCCACCTACATAGCTCCTCATCCCACAGCCCTTCTGCACTGTCTAATCCTCTCGGCCCCTTCATTGACTTCTCTCCATATGGACCCCAGGGTCGGCCTTTCAACTGTGCCCTCACTGGCATTTCAGAATCTCTCCCCCTGAGAAATCTTCCCCGTGTCTGCTGTGTCGACCTTTCTACATCGATGGGCCCTAATGACCCCAGCCTTGGCTGGACGTGGACTCTGGGTTTGAATCCCAGGTCTGTCACTTACTAATTTTCTGGCTTTGGCAACTGTTTAATCTCTCTGAATCTCAATTTCCACATCTGTAAAGTAGAAATGATACTTTCTCCAAAAGGCTATTAAAGTGTAGCAATCCCACGGTAATGTAAGATGTGTGTAGGTGGGGAGGGGGCAGGAAGTTTAGTAAGATCCATGCACAGTATTGCTATGATAGAAATAACGGTGGTGAGCTATATAACTATTATTATTCCTAGTCCCAAGCTGTGAAGCATTGCTAGAGAAAGCTGAGGCAATGTGCAATGATCTATTACAGACTCAGGTTAAATTAAGCCAGGCAATTCTTCTTTTTTTTTTTTTTTTTTTTTTGAGAACTGAGTCTTGCTCTGTCGCTCAGGCTGAAGTGCCGTGGCGCAATCTCAGCTCACCACAACCTCCGCTTCCCAGGTTCAACCGATACTTCTGCCTCAGCCTCCCAAGTAGCTGGGATTACAGGAGCCCACCACCACGCCTGGCTGATTTTTGCATTTATTAATTTTTTTAGTAGAGATAAGGTTTCACCATGTTGGCCAGGCTGGTCATGAACTCCTGACTTCAGGTGATCTGCCTGCCTCCCAAAGTGCTGTGATAACAGGCATGAGCCACCGTGCCGGCCCAATTCTTCATTCTTCTTTGTTGGCGCCCTCATTTGCCTGCTCCCAAACCTCTTCTACACTCCGCAGCCCCTCCGGGCTCCTTCCTCACTGAAAACAGTATCATACAGCCCAAGCTGAACATTTTTCTTGGCTTTACCTTCTCCAGTCTCTTTTCACTCTTCCTCACCCAGAAGAAAAAGACTCCTGTCTTTTCTGTGCCTTTAATGTTGTCTGCCTTATACCAACTATATCCTCTGACACTTCACTTTTCCATCCCCATCTCCACTGGCAACATGGCTGGTTCTTGCTTTCCTGAGGCCCCTCCACTCTGGTCCTCCTCTTTCCTTTTGCAGATCTTTCCACTTCCTTGCTGCTCATTTCCTTTTACGCCCCTGCAGTGTAGTTTCATCCTTCTCCTTCCCAGGTTACAAAGCTCTACCTGTCACAATGAATGGTCTCTTCTTTGCCCTGACCACAGTACTTAATAACATAAGCAAACTCCCTCCCCCACCTGCACTTTCTGGAACAACCCCTCACCCCGTCACTGAGTCACTGTTAACTGAGCATGTGACACGTGCCAAATGCTGAGCTAGGACAGATGCAAAGGAAAGTACCATTTCCTGCTGAGTAGCTCCTCTTCTTCTTCCAGGCCACAGAACACACACGTACGTGCCTGTGGATTTGCTATTTTCTCCCTGTATTCTCTCTCCTTGGACGACCTCACACATTTCCTGAGATCCGATAACGTTCTCTACGGGAATGGCTCCCATCTATAATCCCGGTCTCGTGCTCTCTTCCACCCTCCAGACCTATGTTCCAACAGCCTGCTAGACAGGGTCCCACATTCACCTTCAACTCAACACAACTAAAACCCAACTCTTCCCTTTAACTGTGCATTTTCTGCCTTCCTCCTTTCCCCCTTTAAGGTGGGCCCTTTTTCTCAATCCCAGCTCTCTTCCCTTTCCTTCGGCTCCCATAGGCACTGTGACTCCAACCTGTTCGCTCTTCTCTGCAGTCTCTCCCACCTGCACATCTCTTCTGCTTCCACCGGCTCCTCCCCACTTGGTGAACATGAACTCAGCTGGGTCCGGGCCTGCCCTGGGTCTCAGCTGGGTGACAGTAACAGCCCCCTGACTGGTGGCACTGCCCTGCCGGCCCTCTACTCTAATCTTCCTGCACACCACTCCTCCAGATGGATCTGCCTAGAGCCTGTGTTCCATCTGGGTGTTCTCAGATCAGAAACGATCCTGGAACCTCCAGTGCCTCCCAGAGGGGCACTTGCTGTTTGGCATGATTAGTGATAGAAATTTCAGCATTTTATCATTATTGTATCAAGCAAAAGACAGCTATTCAGAATAACCACCTTTATCCTTTCAGACTTATTATTTCCGAGCAGGGCATTTCAGAGCCTCCCATTAACCTTTAACTGGTCTACCTTTTCCTGTAAAAACTCAGTGGTCTAGACAAATGGAGTGGTGCATGATTTTCCTTAAACACATTCTGCTTGTCTGCCTTAAAGCCTTTCTCCCAGCATTTTCTGTCTGATATGCTGGCTCTCTCCATTTTCTAGTAAGATCTTACCCACTGGTCAAGATGCAGCTCAAATGCCACTTCTGCAATGAAGTTTCCTTCATCAACCCAGGCAGGAGAAGTTGACTGTGCCCCACCCCCATCCCCAACTCCCAACTATTCACAGCAGATTTCTGGCTCCTGCACTGGATTCCCATACTGTCAGCCAACCAAGACATGCATAACAAGGCTTGCTTCTAGATGACATTGCCAAAAAGCATTTGCTGAAGTTGTTGGCACTAGATAGCAAGCTAAGTCTTCACACTCTCACTGGCTGCCTTTACCTGGCCTAGCACAGGAGACGGGGAGGAGCCAGTGGCTGTGGCTGGAGTAAAGGCGGATCTCTGCCTTAACTGGCCGGCACTTGGAACGGTGAGAGAGGGCTGGGCTGCCCATGCATCCCAGTTATCCGTTTCTGGTTTCTCATTCGTGCTGGTGGGCCACCTGGAGGGAAAAGCACAACACCATGAATAGCAAGCACTCCCTAACATGCCAGCTTTTTACCCACAGTAAAGTACCAAAAAAAAAAAAAAAAAAAAGAAAGAAAGAGAAAAGAAAAAGAAAAAGATGGTAACTGATGAGCCTGTGCAACACAAACCTAGTATATTTATGTGGCTTTCTACAGTTAAAGAATGAGGAGGCTGGGTACAGTGGCTCATGCCTGTCATCCCAGCACTGTCAGAGGTCGAGGTGGGCGGATCACCTAAGGTCAAGAGTTTAAGACCAGCCTGACCAACACGGTGAAACCCCGTCTCTACTACAGATACAAAAATTAGCTGGGTGTAGTGGCACACGCCTGTAATTCAAGCTACTAAAGAGGCTGAGGAAGGAGAAATGCTTGAACCCGGGAGGCAGAGGTTGCAGTGAGCCAGGATCGCATCACTGCACTCTGGACTGGATGACAGAGTGAGACTCGGTCTCAAAAAGAAAAAAAAAAACAAAAACGCATTAGCTGGGTGTGGTGGCGGGCATCTGTAATCCCAGCTACTTGGTAGGCTGAGGCACAAGAATTGCTTGAACCTGGGAGGTGGAGGTGGCAGCGAGCCACCGAGATCGCGCCACTGCACTCCAGCCTGGGTGACAGAGCAAGACTCTGTCTCAAAAAGAAAAATAAATAAAAGCGCAAGGAGGAGAGGAAAAGGCATTTGTCTGAATCTTGATTTCCTCAGTATAAAATGGGAACAATACTGTGCCACTTAAGGTTAGTTGTGAGGGTCACATGAAATACGGGCCAGGGAAATACTCTGTAACTGTAAAGCACTGGAGAAACATCCTCACATGATCATTTGTAATAACAATAGTTAAATGAGAAAAAAGAAGCTACCTGCCACCTATGGAGCTGGAGCTTCTCAACACCACTTCTCAGACCCATGCATCCTATAGTAAGTACCTGGTTGTATGCCTAGATGCCACAGCAATTACAAATGGCATCCTGACAGCACCCAGTTGTCCTGGGTCCCAGGGACGGTTCTAGTTTTGTGATTTTAATAATTTTAGATAAACAGGCTGGGCATGGTGACATGACCTAATCTCAGTGCTTTGGGAGGCCAAGGCTGGAGGATCACTTGAGTTCAGGAGTTCAAGACCAGCCTGGGCAACATAGTGAGACCTCATCTCTACAAAAAACTTAAATATTAGCTGGGCATGGTGGCATGCACCTGTAGGCCCAGCTACTTGGGAGGCTGAGGCAGGAACATTACTTGAGCCCAGGAGGTCAAGGCTGCTGTGAGCCATGGTTGTGCCACTGCACTCCAGCCTGGGTGATGAAGTGAGACCCTATCTCAAAATAATAATAAATAATAATAATAATAAATAATTTTAGATAAATGTATCTGTGTGAGTGCAGATTTAAAGGCAATTTACTTTTTACATCTTTATAAGATACACAAACAAAACTGAAAACCAAAATAATTCCTGATTTTTCATTTGGAAAATAAGGTGCCTATAATTACAGCAAGAGAATTGCAAACCATACATTTCATGAAGAAGAAGCATACTGATTTGATCCCCAGTAAAACAAATCCTGGAAAATATGGCATTAGTCTTCTATTTTAGCCTAAGCTTTAGTTTTAAAAACTCAGAACTTTTCAGTCAAGACCAAAAGAGGAAAGGCAAAGTTTCAACTTGGAAGTCAAGCTAATGGACGGCTTTTTTTTTCTTACAGCAGAGATTAGATGGGGGGACCTTCTTTAACACCTTCAGCCTTTTATGTGAAAATAAAGTATGAAAAACTTGCTATTCCTTACATCCTTCCCTCCACTTCCTCCCGCCCTGGGTAATTATTCTTTCTTCCCTCTCTTTGTTCCATCTGATCCTTCTCCAGCAATACATCTGGATTCCTTGCCTTCAATATGTTTCTTCTGAAAGATGATTAGACTTGAAAACAAATTTTAAACACTTCTTATTCAAATCACTCATAATTGTATCCTAGTATAAAATATTTTTAGACAATTGCTCATCTCGGTCATGGCCCTATAACTGGAAGTTTGAACAACAATTTCATCTATCATTTCAAACCTCTGCTTACACACAGTTTTTAAAATGCCCTGATGAACCAGGGCACAGAACTAACCATGGCCAAGTGCAAACAACTCTTCATTCTATTCTACATTTGTATAAGATTAACGAAAGTGGAAAGCTTTAAAGGAAACAGCTTTCTATCTTATTCAGAACCACATGACTGAATTCAATTTTTGCTTCTGCCTGGCAAAAAAAAAAGTGCTATTTGCATGCAGGAAATGACTCTGAAAATTTGCTGACTGACATGGATGTCAAAACAGATTATTAGGAAACTGTATTTCTCCATTTCTTCCACAAGAATGATAGATACAAATACATTATTGAACAAAACAAGATAACAGGCTTCATTTTGTACCATGGTAAGTCACTGTTGGGCAATGACATCATTAAATCCAGTTCAGGGACTGTAATCTCCAATTTGGCAGCCAGAGAAAGGAGTATCGAAAATGAGCCAGCTCCCTCACACAGAAGGACAATCCAAGACTATGAAAATACTTAAGAGGGGGGAAAAAATGACCAAATTGGGATTTCAAAAATCACCAGAAAGAGCCCACCAACACGTACGTGGAGCTGAAGTCGGCCCAGTTATTGGGGGTCGTGGAGGGCTCTGAAGAGGTTACTGCCAAAGGGGCAGGGGTCTCACGCAAGGCCAGTTTGGGGGCAGGGGCAGATGTCGAATCAGTCACTGTTTTCACTGGAGCGGGAACCTCATTTTCTGGGATTTTCTCTGCATAGTTTGCAGGGAACCACCCTGTCTTTCCTTTTAATTCTCCTCCAAGCCAGCCGGGTTCTCCAGTTTGGCTTTCATCCACCTGTAGAAAAAGTCACAACTTTAATTTATGTAGAACTAAATCAACCCCTGAAGAGACCCAGCACCCAACTACAGGGAAGTCCCAAGCCTCTGCCCTCTTTAGATTGACATATGGCATAGGAATTTCTTCATTTTAGTCCAAGTGTCTGGGAAAAGAGTCTAAGCAGTAATGCTGAAAAAAATGCACTATAATTCAAGTTCTTATTCTCTGTACTTTTTTAAAAAGCCTTACCCCATGCTTTCCTAATAATGGCAGCTGAGACAAAGTGCCTGGAGTCCTGAGGCATGGAATTTAAATATTATGATTTGGGAAGTGACTTGACAGGCTTCATCAGAAAGTCATGTCATTATTAAAAATGATTTGACTTGAGTTTATTACTTAAAGTTGAAAGCAAAGGGTGCAATCAATATAAATTCAGTACTCTTAAAACCTCCAATAACTAAGTAGTATTTATTTCAGTATAGGGACAAGGAAGATTTTTTTCAAAACCATGGCCTTAAACGGTTTCCACGGGAAGCAAAGCTGCCTGCTGCTGTGTTTAGGCATTTAAAAGCTCCACAGACACATGATGAGAAAATTAAGGAAGTGATTATTTACAGCAATAATCAATTTTATTAAGGTCCTGTAGTTTTCTTTCGTATACATTTAACTTGCATATTCACAAAAGTGCACAGGAAAATACCGAATTATACTGTTTAAAAATTTCACAGAGGCCGTTTATTAATTTACTAATTTAAAAATTTCACAAAGGCTTTTAAGGTTTACATTTTAATTCTGACTCAAATGGATCACCCAAAATGGCCAAAATGATTCTACTTTTCTTTACGAGTTGTCGCTACTATTTTATGAGCAATAGGAGAATGACTTTGGAGGACAATCACATTTGCTATTAGGAAACTTATTTTTGGGCCGGGCACGGTGGCTCATGCCTATAATTCCAGCACTTTGGGAGGCTGAGGCGGGCGGGTTACCAGAGGTCAGGAGTTCAAGACCAGCCTGACCAACATGGTGAAACCCCATCTCTACTAAAAATACAAAATCAGCCGGGCATGGTGGCGCATGCCTGTAATCCCAGCTACTCGGGAGGCTGAGGCAAGCGAATTGCTTGAATCCAGGAGACAGAGGTTGCAGTGAGCTGAGATCATGCCATTGCACTCCAGCCTGGGCAACAAGAGTGAAACTCCATCTCAAAAACAATTTTATTTTCATTATTATAATTCTTATAACGGTCTTATTTTATGAAACTTTATATCTTATTTTACCCCTTCCTGTGCTGCCTGAGGAGTAAAACATCAAACACTTCACTGGACATTAAAGTTGCTTCTTAGAAATCAGACATGAGTAGGTAGGGTCTTAACAATGATTTTGGAAAAATCTGACAAAAATACCAGTTATCTAATCCATTCAAGTATTCAGTAAAAATGAATTAAAAATAAAGCAAAAAATGATTACATTAAAGAAACCAAATATCTATCTGCATGTACTCAGTGGAGAGTGAGTAATAGGGTTCACTACTTATTAGCTTATTTGAATTAACAAATGCTTGGGGTAGAGGTGGAGAAAACAGAATGCAAGGCAAGGCTTACTACTGAATTCTACCTGTTATTTACAAAATATTCAGCAAGTAGGGGATGCCTGATTGCTGCTCCACTTTAGGGAAACTTTATCATCACAGATAAAAGCAATTTTTAAAGCTGAGAATTCTCCAAACAACCAAAAAAGGAATTCCCTTGCATAAAATGCAATAACACTTCCAAAGGTTGAATTTTTGGCTTCACAGCTCTTTCATTTCTGCTCGCACTCACGCCCACATGAACACACCAGCCACTTTCCAGTCATTGTTTTGTTCTTACTGTTCTTTTTCTGGGCAGCCCCAACTGTTTCTCTAGATGAGGATTTAAGATAAATTCTCCCCCATTTGGATCTTCTTTTACGCTAAACTCAAATGGCTAGATGTCTTTCCTGCCTTGTTTACATTTTGGTGATATGGTGACACACTATAACTTTGCAGCTGCTCCATACTGGAAACATAGCCAGGTGCTGCCAGACTTCTCAGTAGGCTCAATAGTCAAGACCAGCCAACTTGGTTCTAGGACCAAAGATGATGTCAGGCAGGAGTGGGTTAGGAGCGTGAGCCAAACACACAATAATTAAGTGTCAAGACTGCGAAGTGCAATGATCAAGAACAGGGCTCTGCAGTTAGACCATCTCAATTTAAGTGCTAGTTCTACAATCTATTAACTGGTTGACTTTGGGCAAGTTTAATCTCGTGGCACCTCAGTTTTTTCATCTGTAAAATGGGGATAATAAAAATACCTGTCTTATTATAATGCTCACTGTGAGGACTAACAAATATTTACACCAATGCCTGGCAGAATAAAAGTGTTAGTTTTTTTATTTTTTTTTTGAGATGGAATCTCACTCTTGTCACCCAGGCTAGAGTACAGTGGCACAATCTCAGCTCACTGCAACCTCTGCCTCTTGGGTTCAAGCAATTCTCCTGCCTCAGCCTCCCAAGTAGCTGGGATTACAGGCACCCGCCACCACGCCCGGCTGATTTTTGTATTTTTAGTAGAGACGGGGTTTCACCATGTTGGCCAGGCTGGTCTCGAACTCCTGACCTCAGGTCATCTGCCCGCCTAGGCCTCCCGAAGTTCTGGGAGTACAGGCGTGAGCCACTGCACCAGGCCAGATTTTTTTTTTTACATTCTCTCTCCTGCTGTCTGGCTCTGACTTTGTGCTATAGTTCTCTTCCTTGGGATTCTGTCCCGTTCTAAAAGCCTGGTCTTGACTTTACCTTCACTCTAGGTAACAATATCCTTCTCTGTTCAGGAGTTCCCTACTCTAACTGCCTGGTCCCCCACTCCCTCTAGGTTTCTCTAGGTTTACCTTCTTGTTATAAGCAATCCTTTAGGGGCTCAAGTGGATCCCTCGATTGATGGGAACTCCTACTCGTCTGCTCATTTTGGATCTCCTCAAAGGTCAGCTGCTTTGCTTAATTATGTCCCATGATCTATTGTCACTCCCTTGAAACACAGGGTATTGACTGGTTAATAAGACTTTTAGGCCAGGCGCAGTGGCTCACTCCTGTATTCCCAGCACTTTGGGAAGCCAAGGTGGGTGGATCACTTGAGGTCAGGAGTTTCAGATCAGCCTAGGCAACATGGTAAAACCCCGTCTCTACAAAAAATACAAAAATTAGCTGGGCGTGGTGGCGCATGCCTGTAATTCCAGCTACTTGGGAGGCTGAGGCAGACAACTGCTTAAACCCGGGAGGTGGAGGTTGCAGTGAGCCAAAATCATACCACTGCAGTCCAGCCTGTCTCCAAAAAAAAAAAGACTTTTGGTGGACATCTGGAATGTGATCTGAAGCCCTGGGGAAATGTCCTCCCCCTCCACTAAACTGATAGCACCCAGCCTGTCCCCAGATATGATAGAAAGTCTGCTGGTGCAGTGTACACCTAGGAGTGAAGGAGGGGGGCCACATCAGCCCCCCATAAGCAAGAGCTTCTCCCAGCCCTAAGGACAACAGTGAAATCAGCATTTCACTTTAAACAAAGAAATCTGCTGGTCTCAACAGCCCCCCAAAGAATAGTCTCAATTAGTTTAATTTACTCTTACAAGTATACATCAGTTTTAATAAATTATTACAGTTTAAGGTTCAGGGGATGCAAGAGACATTGATTCTTAACACCCAAATTAAATTAACCACTTAGAAAGGTCAACATATGAAAATAAAAATCATTTCTTCCTGGATTTGGAAAACTACCCAAAATGTCAATCCAATTCTGGAAAACATAAGATTATGGCAGACCAAGAAGTAGGAACACAAATGGCTTTGTAATATGACTGGTTCCAATGTGGACTTTTTACACAATGTACATTTATCTACTGGGGGACTATAAGGGAGATGTTATTATTAACAATCTTGGTCTCAATACAATTTCATTTATCAGCCACACTGTAACACCCCAACGTATTTGGGGGTAATTCTAGTGAAACATCATTAAAGTGAAGTACAAACACCAGATATTGCTCACATTTCTGGGACTATGTTACAGAGCTGGTCTACAAAATGTTAGTAATTACACACTGCATATTGTAGCTCACTGATGCAACAGTCAAATATACAAAGCAGCCACTTCAGGTTCAAGTCCGTTTGGCAAAGGCTGATAATATTACACCTCTTTTCTCAATTTTTATATGCTCAGTGGCTGCCATCTTCATTAGATGAGATTAATATTTCTAAAATCTCTGACCCTGTCACAAAGGAGGGAAGCAGAAATTCCTTTTTCCCTCACAGAACACGATAAACAAGTGTAGCAAACAGGTTTAGCCTGTGTATTCAGACCAGCTGACAGTGGCTGCATGGGATGTGTTGAGGAGTGCAGGTAGCAAAACATTTTTCATGGATTCGGCGGTTTTGAAATATAAGATTTCTCCTCCAAATTCCTAGATGAGGATATTAAAATTATTTCTTTTTTTTTTTTTTTTTTTTTGGATGGAGTCTCGCTCTGCTGCCAGGCTGGAGTGCAGCGGCGTGATCTCGGCTCCCTGCAAGCTCTGCCTCCTGGGTTCACGCCATTCTCCTGCCTCAGCCTCCCAAGTAGCTGGGACTACAGGTGCCTGCCACCACGCCCGGCTTTTTTTTTTTTTTTAAGTAGAGATGGGGTTTCACCGTGTTAGCCAGGATGGTCTCAATCTCCTGACCTCGGGATCCGCCCACCTCGGCCTCCCAAAGTGCTGGGATTACAGGTGTGAGCCACCGCACCCGGCCTTAAAACTCCTTCTAAAGCTCCAACCTGGAGGTTGGCAAATTTTGCCTCTGTTGCAACTACTCAAATCTGCCACTGTAGCACACAATATGTGAATGAAGGAGCCTGGCTGTGTTCCAATAAAACTTTATTACAAAACAGGCAGTGATTGGGCCAGATGTGAGCCAACCTTGTAATCATGTGTATATTGGTCCCTCAAAACTGCAGTGATATTACGGCCAATTG